AAGCCCAGTCCACGCCTTTCTCATTCCACACAGGCCTCTGCTCGGCAAAGGCACGCGTCTGCTGGTGGTGGGCGCCTGGGCTGTTTCCCACTCAGGCTCTTAGGACAGGCTGCGGAGAGTGTGGCACCTTGGCTCCTGGGGGTGTCCCTGTGAGGGGCCCCAGGGTCATTGTAGAGAATGCCAAACTCCCACCACCAGCAACGTGGGGAGTGACCGTCACACCTCACCCTTGTGAACTTTTGATATTGTCAGAGTTTCACATTTTTTTCCCATCTTGTGTGTTGTGTATGAGTGCATGTGTGCACACGTGTGCATGTGTGTATCGAATCTTGACTGCTCCCTCTCAGGGTGGTGGATAAGGCTGGGCACCTGCCCACACACCACACACCTGGCCTGGCTGAGCTGGTCCCCTCGCTGCCTCCAGACCTGGCTCTGCCTCCCTCCCCCCTGCCCCTTTCAGCTCAGGGGTGTGGCCCTGTTTGCGGATTCTTTGCTAGAGATGCGTGCTGAGTCCCCGCCCGCCCGGCTTGTGTCGGGGAGGCTGTAATGGTGTGGTGCTCTCTGAAGTCCTGTCTCGGACTTTCTTCCTCGGGCAAATTCCAAGAGCTCTGAGGCGAGGCTAAGACCTCTCTAGCAAGGCTGCCCCCGTTTCTCCTCCCACCAGTCTCAGAGGGGCCCTTGAGATGACTTGGAGGTGACTGGGAACTGGGGCCGAAACTCTGGGGCAGGACCGTCCCAGCTCGGGGCCCCTATCATCTGGAACATCCCGGGCACGCAGAGGGCACCAGGGATGTCTGCCTGGGCTGGCTGTGCCTGTCTGGTCTTCGGTGGGGCCATGTTTGTGGGACATGGACCTGATGGGGGCAGGAGGGCACTGAGATGCCCATGGGGGGCTGAGCGGCCTCATCCGAGCTCTGTCTGCAGCCTGGGCTGCGATACCCTCCCCAGGAGCCCCTGGAGGTCAGGCTCCTTGTGGATGGAAGAGAGGAGTCAGTGTGCACGAGGTAGTCAAGGAGGGCTTCCGGGAGGGGGTGGCACTGAACTCTCCTCCCCCAGTGAGGAATGAGCACTGAGGTGACCAGGGAGGGCTTCCTGGAAGGGGCAGCACCACTCCCCCCACTTTGGTGAGGAGGAGGCTCTGGTGAGATGTGAGGTGCCTGGGCCCCACTCCGCCTGCTGTGGTCTTACTGTGTGGCTGCCTGGACAATAGAGGCGATAACACCCTCCGTCTGGTGGGTGGAGGAGCGGGGAGCCCTCCTACTGCCCCTCTTCCTGCTCTGTCGATACCTGCCCTGAGCTGCTGGTGGGAGGGGCCTCTCCCAGGAAGGCGGGACCAGGGCTCAGGGTGGCTCCTCTCCCCCACACTTCCAGGACACCACGGCCCTAACATCCCACTTCCTCCTGCTGCTCCTGACCCTGCATGGTGGGTGGCCAGGCCTGGCTTTGGGGTGTGGGTGGGGTGCAGGTGAGGGGCAATTGAGGGGCTGGTGGGAGGGGGTGGGGCATGCGTCTGGGACTTGGGAGGACTGGCCTCTGCCCCCGGGCCTCCTCTCAGTCACCCAGGGAGTGACCTGGATGCCGGCCCAGGGGGGCTGGGAGCCCTAGTGGGAAGTGGGGTGCCCCGAGCTAAGAGAACCGGCTCCCTCAGCTCCCTTCTCCTGGGCCCTTGCAGAGCAGGGACCACCTGGGAACCGAGGGGAGACCGAGGGATGGGTGGGGCAACGCTGAGAACCAGGCACCTTGGGGGGTTGCTGGGCTGCTTGGCCACCTGAGTCCCACCCAGACCAGCCCTGGGATGGCAGCTGTTGGCCCGGGGCCCCACCCGATGGCCCCACCTGCCGAGGGAGCCGGGCTCCAGCAGCTCGGGAGGAGATGACCCCTGGGTCACCCCAGGCCCTCCCGGGGGCTGTGGGAGGGCAGCAAGCAGACTCCACGCCCCCCTCACCCTTGGGCCTGCCCCTCTGTCCCCTCCCCTCAGGTGTCTCCAGGGAGGTTCTTCAGGCAGGTAAGTCCCCCCAGGTGTGTTGGAAGGGGGCAGGAAGACCCCAGGGGTGACTGCGAGCTTTCCCAGGTTTTCCATGGGCACAGCTATGTCTCTGCATGGTGGTCTCCACATGCCCACCAGGCTCCTCCCAGTTAAACAACCACATTTCCCTTGGCGCTTACTGCACATTTAATGGAGGACAGGGTTTAGAGCCCCAAATCCGAGCCTCGGGGTGTGTGTTACTCGAGGGAAGGCCCAGCAAGGGGATAAGAAGGGACATGGGGGAGATCCCGAGGGGTGAGGTGGTGGTCAGGGGAGACTTCCTGGAGGAAGGGGCGGCGGGCAGGGAAATAGGCCTCTCAGAGCTCCCACCGAGGACTCCCTCTCTCTCGGTTGAGGGTGTGGTCGGCCCCGGGTTTTGGAGGCTGGGGGCCGCATCGTGGGGGGCCATGCGGCCCGGGCTGGGGTGTGGCCATGGCAGATCAGCCTGCGCCTACGGAAGGTGCAGCCCGGAGTGGGTGCTCACTGCCACCCACTGCTTCTCCAGGTGAGTGTGTGCGGGTGGGCAGGCAGCCAGGCCTGCGGGGCCACAGAGGCAGTGTGGAGACCTCTGCTGTGTGAATGCCTGGGGCATTCACCTGCCTCTCTGCGCCTCAGTCTCCCCTCTAGCAGAAAAGGCAGACTCCATCCTCATCTGCCAGGCTGATGGTGGGGTTTCAGGGCTCGGGGCCACACTGGCCTTGGGTGGTTCCTGAGCCAACTTTGTGGCAGGCCTCTCCAGGGCATCTTTGCATGCCTCTGTGGATGGGCAGCTCACTCCCTCACCACTGTCTGCTGCTCTGAAGTCCCCCCACCCCCCCAGGCCTTGGGGCATTACCACACACCCTGATACTCTCCATCTGTAGGGGCAGGATCCGTGGTCTCATAGTCTTGACCATGGAGGGTGAGGCTGCTGCCAGCTCCCAGGCCCTGGCCGTAGTGCCCAGAGAGGCCACAGAGGGGAGAGTGGGAACAGCGGGACACCGGATTCCTACGGGACCACCCCTGGCCTCCAGCCTCTCAGCTGGCCACTCGGGGGACAGGACGCCCCTCAGCCCACCCCTTCCCTCCCAGGTCCCTGAACTCCTCCGACTACCAGGTCCACCTGGGAGAGCTGAAGAGCTCTCTGTCCCCCCGATTCTCCACCGTGAGGCAGATCATACTGTACTCTGGCCGCCCAGGGCCACCAGACACCAGTGGGGACATCGCCCTGGTCCAGCTGAGCGCCGCTGTTCACCTTTCCCGCTGGGTGCTACCCATGTGCCTCCCTGACGCCTCGGCCAGCTTCCAGCCCGGGACGCAGTGCTGGGTGACTGGCTGGGGCTACACGGGAGAGGGAGGTGAAGAGCCCCTCACAGCCCCCCGTCTGGCCCCGTGGGGATGGAGGCAGGCACGACCTCCCTGGAGAGAGGCTGAGAGAAAAGACAAGGGGGGCACTGTGGCCCCAAAAGCCTAGAGGTCCCAGCCAAGGTCGCAGCTCTTCCACAGCAGAGTCTGAACTCACTCACTGCCGTCGAGTTGGATCCCACTCATAGCGACCCCTCCTTGGGTTCCTGAGACGGTATCTCCACGGAAGTAGATTGCCCAACCTTCCTTCCGAGGAGTGGCTGGTGGGTTTGAACCGCCAGCCTTCTGGTGAGCAGAAGGCATTGCACCTCCAGAGCTCCCATACCAGAGTCTATTATACATTAATTCTCACTAAGGTGTCAATGGCTACCTACTACCATCATGCAACTAGTAAACATTTTGTATCTGGACTAGGTTGGCACCCGCTGTCCCCCACTCCCCCTGCAGCTTCTCTCCCCTCATCGTACAGCTTGCAGGAGGCTGAAGTCTCCATTGTGGACACAGACATCTGCAGACAGAACTACAGCAGCGAGGGTGCGTCCGTCCTGTCCGACATGCTGTGTGCCCAAGGCCCTGGCGATGCCTGCCAGGTGAGCAGGCTGGGCGTGGGCAGGGGGGAGTCTAAAGCCGGGTGAAGGGAGCCCCAACCACCTGGCATCCCGGTACCCCCTGCTTTGCCCAGGACGACTCCGGAGGGCCTCTGGTCTGTCTGATGGATGGCACCTGGGTGCAGGCAGGTGTGGTGAACTGGGGTGAGGGCTGCGGCCGTCCCGACCGGCCTGGTGTCTACACCTTGGTCCCCGCCTACGTGAACTGGATCCGCCTCCACATCCCAGCAGCTCAGAGCTCGGGGCTAACCCCACTGCCTCTCCTGGGGGGCTTCTTCCTTCCCGGCCTCCTCCTCCTCCTCGTCTTCTGTGTCCTGGTGGCTAAGTGCTCTCTGCAGAGACTCCTCACCCTCCCCTCAACCTCTGCCCTTTGACCACTGGTCACATGGCCCCTGCCTGCCCCCTTGACCAAGCAGGGCGCGGAGCAAGGCAGGGAACAGCTGCCCAGGGCGTGCAGGACCTTCCTGTGCGGAAACGGAGGCTGAGAAGGTGCAACGTCTCTCACAAAGTCTCGTGGCAAGAGGCGTCCGCAGCCCAATGCACCCACCCCGCCCTGAGGGCCTGCCAACTCCTAGGGTCCCCAGCCCTGGGAGCCCAGGCAAGACCTGCAGTTCTCCGCATTTCCACCAGAGGGAGCGCTTGGCAACGCAAAGCGCAGGTGCAGCGGGACCGTTACAGCGACCCTGTCCACCCCGCCTGCCGGCAGAGTCTGGGTCAGCCAGCCCAGCTGGGTAGAGCCTCTGCGGGGAGCGTGGCCTGCCGACGCCCCTAATTTGGGCGTCAAGCCTCCAGACCTCAAGAGGATGGACGTGCGCTGTCCTAAGTCCCCCACCTTGTGGTTCTTGGTCGCGGCGGCAGCCTGGAAAACTGACCACACCACGCACGTAAAAGGAGCGAGGGCAGAGACCACGACGGCCGCCCAGCCACCCTCCGTGCAGAGCGCACCGGCCGTGACTGGACAGCCGCCCTCGGCGAGGGCTGGGGGAGCCTCCGGGCTGGACCCCACCCTGGTCTGGGCTGCTGCACTGTATACCAGATGCATCTCAGTGGGGAACCGGGCTGGGCCGCGGCCCTGCCACCCCGACGACACACAGCAGCCCGGAGGCATGCGTGTCCCACTTGGCGCGCTGGAGAGGGGGTACTCCAGTGGCCACCGCGCAGCAGGGCAGAGGGGAGGGTGGCTGGCTGCTGGAGGCCCCACTGCCGCCCTGGGGGTGCAGCTGGCACTGTGGGCTACTTCTCCGCCACAGAACTTTCTGGACCACCGCTGGGCAGAGACACGGCAGCCCCACCAAGGCTACGGGTCCTCCCTGGAGGAGGGACGCAGCTGGGAAGAGGCGGCTTCACCCCAGTGCTCTCTCCAAGGCAGGCCAGCCTCCTCCAGACAGCAGCCGCACGCCCCACGCTCGTACTGCAGTCCACACAACACGTTTCTTAAATAAGTTAAGGTTTACTCTGTTCGCCTACCCCCCCGCCCCGACTCGGTTTAAGTGCAGTGTTTCCTGTGTCAGATTATTGCAATGTGTAACCTGAATTGACCAACCAGAGGGACGTCATCTGAGACCCCACGGCCCGATCCAGGCTGGGCAGGAGGCCCATGGGGAGGTGTGGGCCTTATTGCACCGGTCACAGCTCAGTCGTGGCGTAGCCGTGTCCCGGCAGTGAATGGCGTCTCCTGACCACCTAAGTGGAACTGGACGGGGGGCCGGGGACATGGAGAGACCTAAAGCTTCCGGTGGTGGCGTGGTGTGACAAGGGGTGAGGACGGGTGGGTGTGGAGGGCGTGGACAGTGACAAAGGTGAGCTGGGCCACAGAGACCCTAGAAAAATACATGTTCTATGCGGACGGAGCCCGGCGGGTGGCCTCTGTCCTTTTTTGGTCGGTTTAGGCCACTGTCCACCGCCTCCCTTGGCTACAGGGCAGCTGTCCGCAGAGCCCAGCGGCACAGCCTTGGCCACAGTGCGGAGCTGGGATTCCCACAGCTGAGCCCTCAGGCTCCCGACTCGTTCCTTCCCCGGGGGCTGCTTCCTGACGCACTCCGCAGAGGCAGGCTGTGCCTCCCACTACCCTGGGTGGACAGGTCCTCCCGGGCTCCACGGCCACGGGAGGGGGTCCGGCACGGTGCCGCCTGGCGGCTGATCCTGTGGGCGCACCCCGGATCCCAGCATCAAGCCCTTTCTGGCGTCTACCCTGGAGCTACACTGGGCCCTCTACGTTGTCACCTGGGGCAGGGGTGGCTGGAAGGGACCCTGGTTTCTTTGGGGGGCTCTCTGGAGCCGTGAGGAGCACCCCTCGCCCCTTCTCAGGGAGATCGTCGGGGGGCATGGGAGGTGTGGCCCCCAAGGAGGAAGCGCGAGGTTCTGGGGCCACACCCTGGCCACTGTCCAAAAAGGGGTCCCCACCTGGGGCCCCCATGTCTAGAGGCTCAAAGGCAAAGTTTGGGACTGTCAGGTGCTCTGCCCTGGCCGTGGCCTGGCCCCGGCGCTCTCCCTTGCCCGCGGGGTCCACCCCGGTCCCCAGGCTCTCCGAGGGCTCCAGGGGGTCCCTGTAGGGGGCAGCCGGGCCAGGGCAGGCCTCACAAGATGGGGTTCTCCGCCGCAGAATGGTGCTGCTGCCCTCGGCTGCGGGGGCCCGCCCGGCGCCCTCGTCCTCCGCTGGGGGATCGATGGAGATACACGGCGGACTCATTTTCTTCTTGCGCCGCGCGCCCAGGGCCGGCTCAGCCTCAGGGCCCCCGGCGTGGGCACCGTCCCCGCCTGCCTCCACTGCACTCGGCTGCCTCTGCCCGTCCACCCTGCCAGGCCCCGCCCGGCAGCCCCAGCCGTCAGAGCTGCGGAAGCGACGCAGGCCCCCGAGGCGGACTGCGGAAGCCGCGGGTGAGGCATCAGGGCTGCGGCGCTCAGGCGGCCAGGGACGCGCTGCACTGGTGATGTGTCGGACCTCCTCATCCGCCGGGTCGGTGGCCTCTTCGCCACCTGGCGGCCGGCTGGCCGCCCAGCGCTGTCCAAACGTGTGGCGGCGGGTGCGCACGCTGGCAGGTCTTGGGGAGTGGGGCGGAGTCCGCAGGGGCGCCCCCAGTTGCGCCGGCCTGGCTGCAGCCTTCTCCCCAGGCTCTCCGGGGTCTGAAGCGCTGTCCCGGGAGCTGTCGATCTGTCCTTCCAGAGAGTCAGTGCGGACAGCCTCCTGCACGGGGACAGCCCAGGTCTGAGGAGACAGGATCAGGGTGCAGGCTGTCTGTCCTTCACCCCGGCCTCAGTAGGCAGGTCCCTGGGGGCTGATGACCTCCAGGGGCCCAGGCTGAGATGGGGCTGGCCTCCTGGACGGGACGTCACTGCCCTCCCTGCAGCCACCCCACCGCTGGAGACCTTGTGGTCTGTAGAGTGTGGGTGGGGCCTGCATGGACTCAATGGCAAGTGCTGGCCGGATAAGGGCTGTCGAGAGGAGAGGACAGGGCTTGGAGCCCCGGGGGCTGGCCCAGCACCAAGTGGTGCCCTGGTGCCCATGTGGCTGCCCCCACCCCCCTCAGTTTCATCCCCCAATGGCGAGTTCTCTCAATGGCACCACAGAGGAGACAGAGTTCCGGACGTGGCCTGGCCTGGTGAGGGTGGGAAGGGACCACTGCGGGGACAGAGCCTTGCAGGTTCCCGAGTGGGGGCTCGTCCGTTTGGGGGCTCCACCTGGGACCCTCTGGACTGCAGGCACAGGCCCTCCTCTGGGCCTTCCCGCCACTCACCCTGCAGACGCAGAACGAGGGTTTTGGCGGGCCCAGGCGGCCCCGTACCTGTCTGCAGAGCAGCCGGCTGAGGCCGGGGGAGTGGGGCGCCGGCCGCGGGGAGGGGGCCCGCAGGGTGTTGCTGGACCTTCCCGGGGAGGGTGCGGGTGGGGTCGGCAGGGGCAGCGTGTCCGGCGGGACTTGGAGGGTAGCACGGGGCGCCCCAGGCAGCGAGCTGGTGGAGGGAACGGCGCCTGGAGGAAGACAGTGTCTGCTTACCCCCCCTGCCCCCATACCCAAGGCCCCCAAGCCCGAGTCTTCCAGGCCCCAGGCCCCCGCGCCCAAGGACTTCACACCCCAGATTCCCGTATCCTAGCCTGCCATGCCCCAGCCCCTGAAGCCAAGGCCCCATGCCCCAGGCCCCCGTGTCCAAGGCCCATGTGCCCCAGGCCCTGCACCCCAAGCCCCCACCCCCCAGGCCCTGTACCCGAGGCCCCTGCACCTCAGGCTCCCATACCAGAGCGTGCCACACCCCAATCCCCCCCACTCTAGGCCCTACGCCCCAGGCCTCCACGCCCAAGGACAACAAGCCCCAGGTCCCCGTACCCAAGGTCCCTGTGCCCTAGGCCCCAGTGCCCCGGGCCCCCACGCCCCACAGCCCCGTACCAGAGGCTGCCGCGCCTGCGTAGGTCTCCATCTCCGCCTCCTGCAGCGGCTGTGGGGTGGCAGGCGCCACAGGCCGGAACATGTAGCTGTCGTTGGGTAAGGAGAGCATACGGGACACCGACACTTTGCGCATCACCAGCAGGCTCAGGGCCTCGGGCCGCTCCTGCGGCAAAGCGGCCACGTCAGCCCCAGCGCTGCTGGGGGGACTCGGCCCACCGCGTCAGAACTCCGCCCTCCTGGGTGACCCTGCCCCCATGCTAGGGCCACGCCTCCTGGGGCCCCGCCCACCACGTCAGGGCCACGCCCCGGGGGACTCCTCCCACTATCCCAGGGCCACGCCTCCTGGGGCCACGCCCACCACGTCAGGGCCACGCCCCTGGGGGACTCCTCCCAGACGTCAGAACTGTGTCCTCCTGGGTGACCCCTTCCCCGCAACGCCCGCCAGCGCCACGCCTCCTGGTGGGACTCCGCCCACTACGCCAGCCTGCCATCCTGTGGGGCGCCCTATCCCGGCCGGCCCTGTACCGGTGTGGCTGGGGCAGGGGTGGGCGGGGCGCCGGCCAAGTCCGGCTCCATCTCTGCGTCAAGCTCGGCATCCTCGCGGGCCTCCTTGTTGCTCTCTTCCAGATGCTTCATGAGCACGGCCACCACCACGTTGACCAGCACGAACTGCGCCACCAGCACGAAGGTGACGAAATAGACGGGCGAGATGACCGGCAGGTAACTGAGGCAGTGTTTGTCTTCACGGGTACATTCCCGCAGCGTGTCCTGTGGGTGCCGGGCCCGGCTGTGACCCCAGCTTGTGGCCGCGAGCACTCACCCTGCACAACCTTGTGGCCGCGAGCACTCACCCTGCACAACCTCAAGCCTCCAGCCCCGATGGTCTCTGACCATGGGGAGCCCCTCAAAGCCCCCACCGTTGGGGGATACCCAGAGTAATCCCCGAGCTCCTCAAACCCCCCACCAGAGCAGCCCCCAAGACGCCCAAAGCCCCTATCCTCCAAGGCACCCTCTGAGCAGCCCCAGAGCTCCCATGGAGTTCCTCAAGCTCTTCTGCCTCATGTGGTCCCCTGAGTGGTCCCCGAGCCCTGCCTGGACGTACTTTCATGATCCCGTTCCAGTTGTCACCTGTGGACACTCGGAACAGCGTGAGGAAGGCCATGCCGAAGTTGGTGAAGGTGGCATGCCTGCTCAGGCCCTCACAGGGATTGTCCTCGCTGCAGTCTGCAAGAGGACAGAGACCCTCCCATCAGCCCAGGGCAAGGGCACACAGGAGGCCCACGTAACCTGGCATGGGTCCTTTCCCTCCACGGAGGAGACACCCGCACCCTGTGTGGGGGCAGTGGCCTGCCTCAGCGGCCCTTACAGATGCACCTGCAGGGGACCCCTCAGGAGCCACTTCCCTTCAGAGCAGCGAAGGGCGCCGCCTCCCAGGGGCACAGCCAGGTGCCCCTCCACCTCCACCTAGCGCGGGCCGCGGGGCGGAGTGTGGCGGAAGGCTCCAGGGGCGGAGGGTTTCAGAGGCAGGCTTTCTGGACCTGTGACCTGTCCTTCACACACTGACCTGCCTGCTCCCCAGGCCCAGCCTCTTGGCCCCATGGGCCCAGCCTGGCCTCAGGCCCCTGCCGGGTGACAGGGCTTCCTTAAGCTCTGGGAGCCACTAGGTTTGGTCTGGCTGGGCGTGGTCCCAGAAGATGGACTGTGAGGACAGAAGGGCTCTGGGTGTCCCGGGAAGGTGGCACAAGCTTCCTGGGCCTGGAGCTCACTCGTGGGAAGCTGGGTGGTAACTAACACCCCCAGCACTCTCTCCAACCACAGCCACCTCCTAAGGAACCCGCGGTGGCCCTGGAGCCGCCAGAGGGTCAGCGCCTCGCCCCAGGAAGACACTGGTGTGAGGGATGCGACAAAGACTGTTCTCCAGAGAGGATAGGGACCCCAGCAGAAGGGCACAGGCCATCGACGGCCCCCAACCCCCAGCCTGAGGGAAGGGACTTCAGGATCCTTGGTGACAATGACCAAGGGCACACCACCAGCACTGTCCCTGGCGACTATGGTGGTGCGTC